TTTCTGATCAATGCACTCTTCATCATCATTATATTCCACTCAATTCCACTCAGTCACATTAAGGGTTAATGCCGTCTATAGTGATCGACTCCCAGTAAGATACATCGAACCAGTTGCACAACTTCGCCGTCGTTCTATAACTGTGCTACACCTCCAGGACAGATGACAACAATGTGCTTATCAGCTGCTGCAGCAGCATCGGTACAGCCAAGACACAGCCCGCACCTCCCAAATCTCTGAGGAGGGAGAGAACAAACACCAACATGTCTTGGGTAAACAGCGCACCCTCTGCTCATGCACCCCCCCACCCGTCAAATTCACTGGTGTCTCCAGTGAAGGGTCTGTTAATACTACAACATACAAAGACATTGTAGACAATTGTGATCTTCCAGCCTTGTGGCCACAGTTTGGTGAAGACCCTTTTCTGTTCCCCCATGACTGTCCCCTGTTACAAAGCCAGCTCCATAAAGACATGGCGTGACCAGTTTGGTGTGGAGGAACGAGCGTCTTGCAAAGAGCCCTGACCTCAACCAAACTGAACGCCTTTCCAAGCCAGGTCTTCTCATCCAACATCAGACCTGAACTCAACCCTAATGAACACCTTTCTAAGCCAGGTCTACTCACCCAACATCAGATCTGACCTCCACCCTACCAACTCCTTTCCAAGCCAGGTCTACTCATCCAACATCGGACCTGAACTCCACCCTTCCAACTCTTTTCCAAGCCAGGTCTACTCATCCAACATCAGACCTGACCTCCATCCTACCAACTCCTTTCCAAGCCAGGTCTACTCATCCAACATCGGACCTGAACTCCACCCTTCCAACTCTTTTCCAAGCCAGGTCTACTCATCCAACATCAGACCTGACCTCAACCCTACCGAACACCTTCCCAAGCCAGGTCTACTCATCCAACATCAGACCTGAACTCAACCCTAATGAACACCTTTCCAAGCCATGTCTTCTCATCAAACATCAGTACCTGACCTCACAAATTCCCACAAAACACCATCCAAAATCTTGAGGAAAGTCTTGCCACAAGAGTGGAAGATGGTATAGCTTCAAGGAGGTATGAGGCCAGCGCCTTATTAATGGCTAACCTTCATAAAAAGACATGGTTTGACCAATTTGGTGTGGAGAAGCTCGAGTGGCTAGCAAAGCCCTGACCTCAACCCTAATAAAACACCATTACAAGCCAGGTCTTCTCAACCAACATCAGACCTGACCTCAATCCTACTGAACACCTTTCCAAGCCAGGTCTTCTCATCCAACATCAGACAAGACCTCAAAGCTACTGACAACTGTCCACCCCAGGTCTGCTCATCCTACATCAGACATGACCTCAACCCTACTGACAACTGTCCATCCCAGGTCTTCTCATCCAACATCAGACATGACCTCAACTCTACCAACAACTGTCCATCCCAGACACTCTACTGAACACCTTTCCATGCCAGGCCTTCTCATCCAACATCAGACCTGACCTCACAAACGGGCACACATCCCCACAGACCCTCCAAACTCTTGTGAAAAGTCTTCTCAGAAGAGTAGAGGTTGGAATAGCTGCAAAGACAAGGAGGGGTGGGGGGGAGATATGGCCATGGTTTTGGAATGGGATGTCCACCAATGCCATACAGGTCGAGAAGGTCATGTGACCACAACCCTTTGCCCATTATTTCAATTAAGAGAGACAACAATAAAAGAACAGACTGTCTCTGGTAAGCAAGCGGAAAGTCACATGTTTGTACATTTTAAGAGTCAGCAAATAAAAAACAAATATACACAAATCACTTCATCACGCTGAGCTGTGCCGCCCGTGACCACCAAATCCCACGAAACGGCTATTAGCACGGGCAGATGTTATGGATGACGGGCTCCGGCGCATCAGCTGGCCCTCATTCCCGTAGTCCCTTCCTTCCCAGATCGGCGCCCACTTGCACAGGAGGTTCTTTCCAACAAAAACAGGATCTGAATGATTCATTCATGAGCAAACCGCTCATTAATGTCCGAGCGCCGCGCAGAGCTTAACCTCTGGTGTGCCGGCGTGCAGGATACATGTCTGCCCTATTAATTATGTATCACCATGAACGTACTGGTTCCTCGGCGACACCCCCTCCGGGAACAATGGTGATATTAGGAAGGACAATATAACCATTACCGACCAGGGAAGAGGCCACCTGGGATCTGCTTGTAGGTAAAACATTCGGAGCGGCCGGATCTGGAGAACTTCCATGACAACATGACACGGTGGGCCTAGTGCCAGGGGGGAGCGCATGGAAGTCAGTTGCGTAACTTGTAACCAAAACCACAAATCTTCAACAAATGTCACGAACAACCTGCGTTATACCGGGGAGACGTTTCCTAATGTGGCAACGCCTACTTCGAAAACGCACGCACGTGGCAGAGAGAATGACAACACACCCCTGTGCTGGTCACAAGCAGGTGCCCACATGTCTCCCATCAACAAACCGCACCACCTGTGCCACCTGACGGTCTACCTAACTTTACATCATCTCAATGGATGAGATAGGTTGCATCACAAACTAGGTTGCATCGCGCACTACAGATTGGCAATGTTGTTCGTCGATCGGATCCAAATCAGAAACAAGATGCCATTGTCCGGGTCACAAATCTGCGGCCACGTGCACCCCCAATTAATAGATTATCTATTGCAAAGTGCCCCCCACTGTACCCCAGAAAAGTCGGGTGCTCTAATGATCAGCTGCCATAGTCATTGGCTCTTGCCTGTCCCCCCCCC